TACTATTTAAATTGTATCAACTCTCATCTTTATTTTCCCTGTTTATTGAGTTGACATTATACTACATGTATGGCCGGCCACCAAAAAATTGATTGCTTCAGTCTCCTCGGCTGGGTGACGTGGTGGTGTGTTTATTTATTTATAATTTATTTATTTTTTAAAAGATAAAAATAGATATACTAAGTATATCTATACGGTCATGCAGAGGCCTGCCCATCTCTACTTCACTAAGGAAGTGTTGAGGAGATGGAACAGTGATTTGAGGCTGGAAGCATAAGGTGAACAAATAAGAATAATAACAATTCTTATCACCAATGAACGATTTATCATAATAAGATTAATCAAATATATATAAATATACAAAATACAAAATGCAAATAACTCCCAAGGTGATTCACCGAATGTGACAGTAACTCAGACCTATGACTTACTCTTAGACGTCCTTTTAATTTTTTCATTTTTCTTTTTGTTTTTTTAAACATTTTTTATCAAACTTATATATTAATATAATTCATTGTTATTCTCAATTCCCTGTCATTTGTTTTATTTAAAACAATTTGCTTTATACTATGTCTGTAAATTATGGCTCCAATAACTGTAAATCCTTGGAGTACTGTTACGTCATACTGTGAAAAATGACGTCATATCAACAGAGAAGAACCCTGTCAAGTCGCCATGATGTAATTCAATATAGAAGAATATAGAAGACTTAAGGTAAGTACCTTAGCTAAGATATAAATGTAGCGTTAGATACATTACAAAACTTATATATTACATGTGCACTTTTTTGTTTATACACTAGAAAATAATAATACACATCTACCGGAAATGGCGAGGACAGGTTTGTCGTGCTAGAATGAATGGCCAATTCATTACCGAAACAAACCTGCATGGAGTTTGGGACTAGCACCTGATGAGAGTTCCCTCACAAAATTACTGGCATACTAGCCTATATCTTTTGGTATTTTTGGCATATTTTAGAATAATAAATACGCTATAGCACAAACTCAAAATTTCTAAATTTTATTTGGCATAACTCCTTCCTGGTCGTTTTCTTTATTACAATTTTCTTTTTTGTTCACAAATACGCACATATACAAATTCCTATAATCTATCATAATCAAACAATGTATAATACTGCATGTTGGTTTTATAGAATTATTTGTTGACTACTTACCAGTATAATAGCATGCTTTTTGAAATATGTATAGTATTATTTGCTAATTAAAAAATAACTTATAAAATCTAAATTATTGTTTAACGTTGAGTGACCAGAATCGCAGTATACATTGAAATATTTTGAAAGGTTTTAACCCCCCCCCCCCTTTTTTTCAGTTTTGTCTATAACTTGTGTTAAATATTTATTGAAAAACACCCCCCTAATTTTTCGTTACTATTTAAATTGTATCAACTCTCATCTTTATTTTCCCTGTTTATTGAGTTGACATTATACTACATGTATGGCCGGCCACCAAAAAATTGATTGCTTCAGTCTCCTCGGCTGGGTGACGTGGTGGTGTGTTTATTTATTTATAATTTATTTATTTTTTAAAAGATAAAAATAGATATACTAAGTATATCTATACGGTCATGCAGAGGCCTGCCCATCTCTACTTCACTAAGGAAGTGTTGAGGAGATGGAACAGTGATTTGAGGCTGGAAGCATAAGGTGAACAAATAAGAATAATAACAATTCTTATCACCAATGAACGATTTATCATAATAAGATTAATCAAATATATATAAATATACAAAATACAAAATGCAAATAACTCCCAAGGTGATTCACCGAATGTGACAGTAACTCAGACCTATGACTTACTCTTAGACGTCCTTTTAATTTTTTCATTTTTCTTTTTGTTTTTTTAAACATTTTTTATCAAACTTATATATTAATATAATTCATTGTTATTCTCAATTCCCTGTCATTTGTTTTATTTAAAACAATTTGCTTTATACTATGTCTGTAAATTATGGCTCCAATAACTGTAAATCCTTGGAGTACTGTTACGTCATACTGTGAAAAATGACGTCATATCAACAGAGAAGAACCCTGTCAAGTCGCCATGATGTAATTCAATATAGAAGAATATAGAAGACTTAAGGTAAGTACCTTAGCTAAGATATAAATGTAGCGTTAGATACATTACAAAACTTATATATTACATGTGCACTTTTTTGTTTATACACTAGAAAATAATAATACACATCTACCGGAAATGGCGAGGACAGGTTTGTCGTGCTAGAATGAATGGCCAATTCATTACCGAAACAAACCTGCATGGAGTTTGGGACTAGCACCTGATGAGAGTTCCCTCACAAAATTACTGGCATACTAGCCTATATCTTTTGGTATTTTTGGCATATTTTAGAATAATAAATACGCTATAGCACAAACTCAAAATTTCTAAATTTTATTTGGCATAACTCCTTCCTGGTCGTTTTCTTTATTACAATTTTCTTTTTTGTTCACAAATACGCACATATACAAATTCCTATAATCTATCATAATCAAACAATGTATAATACTGCATGTTGGTTTTATAGAATTATTTGTTGACTACTTATCAGTATAATAGCATGCTTTTTGAAATATGTATAGTATTATTTGCTAATTAAAAAATAACTTATAAAATCTAAATTATTGTTTAACGTTGAGTGACCAGAATCGCAGTATACATTGAAATATTTTGAAAGGTTTTAACCCCCCCCCCCCTTTTTTCAGTTTTGTCTATAACTTGTGTTAAATATTTATTGAAAAACACCCCCCTAATTTTTCGTTACTATTTAAATTGTATCAACTCTCATCTTTATTTTCCCTGTTTATTGAGTTGACATTATACTACATGTATGGCCGGCCACCAAAAAATTGATTGCTTCAGTCTCCTCGGCTGGGTGACGTGGTGGTGTGTTTATTTATTTATAATTTATTTATTTTTTAAAAGATAAAAATAGATATACTAAGTATATCTATACGGTCATGCAGAGGCCTGCCCATCTCTACTTCACTAAGGAAGTGTTGAGGAGATGGAACAGTGATTTGAGGCTGGAAGCATAAGGTGAACAAATAAGAATAATAACAATTCTTATCACCAATGAACGATTTATCATAATAAGATTAATCAAATATATATAAATATACAAAATACAAAATGCAAATAACTCCCAAGGTGATTCACCGAATGTGACAGTAACTCAGACCTATGACTTACTCTTAGACGTCCTTTTAATTTTTTCATTTTTCTTTTTGTTTTTTTAAACATTTTTTATCAAACTTATATATTAATATAATTCATTGTTATTCTCAATTCCCTGTCATTTGTTTTATTTAAAACAATTTGCTTTATACTATGTCTGTAAATTATGGCTCCAATAACTGTAAATCCTTGGAGTACTGTTACGTCATACTGTGAAAAATGACGTCATATCAACAGAGAAGAACCCTGTCAAGTCGCCATGATGTAATTCAATATAGAAGAATATAGAAGACTTAAGGTAAGTACCTTAGCTAAGATATAAATGTAGCGTTAGATACATTACAAAACTTATATATTACATGTGCACTTTTTTGTTTATACACTAGAAAATAATAATACACATCTACCGGAAATGGCGAGGACAGGTTTGTCGTGCTAGAATGAATGGCCAATTCATTACCGAAACAAACCTGCATGGAGTTTGGGACTAGCACCTGATGAGAGTTCCCTCACAAAATTACTGGCATACTAGCCTATATCTTTTGGTATTTTTGGCATATTTTAGAATAATAAATACGCTATAGCACAAACTCAAAATTTCTAAATTTTATTTGGCATAACTCCTTCCTGGTCGTTTTCTTTATTACAATTTTCTTTTTTGTTCACAAATACGCACATATACAAATTCCTATAATCTATCATAATCAAACAATGTATAATACTGCATGTTGGTTTTATAGAATTATTTGTTGACTACTTACCAGTATAATAGCATGCTTTTTGAAATATGTATAGTATTATTTGCTAATTAAAAAATAACTTATAAAATCTAAATTATTGTTTAACGTTGAGTGACCAGAATCGCAGTATACATTGAAATATTTTGAAAGGTTTTAACCCCCCCCCCCTTTTTTTCAGTTTTGTCTATAACTTGTGTTAAATATTTATTGAAAAACACCCCCCTAATTTTTCGTTACTATTTAAATTGTATCAACTCTCATCTTTATTTTCCCTGTTTATTGAGTTGACATTATACTACATGTATGGCCGGCCACCAAAAAATTGATTGCTTCAGTCTCCTCGGCTGGGTGACGTGGTGGTGTGTTTATTTATTTATAATTTATTTATTTTTTAAAAGATAAAAATAGATATACTAAGTATATCTATACGGTCATGCAGAGGCCTGCCCATCTCTACTTCACTAAGGAAGTGTTGAGGAGATGGAACAGTGATTTGAGGCTGGAAGCATAAGGTGAACAAATAAGAATAATAACAATTCTTATCACCAATGAACGATTTATCATAATAAGATTAATCAAATATATATAAATATACAAAATACAAAATGCAAATAACTCCCAAGGTGATTCACCGAATGTGACAGTAACTCAGACCTATGACTTACTCTTAGACGTCCTTTTAATTTTTTCATTTTTCTTTTTGTTTTTTTTAAACATTTTTTATCAAACTTATATATTAATATAATTCATTGTTATTCTCAATTCCCTGTCATTTGTTTTATTTAAAACAATTTGCTTTATACTATGTCTGTAAATTATGGCTCCAATAACTGTAAATCCTTGGAGTACTGTTACGTCATACTGTGAAAAATGACGTCATATCAACAGAGAAGAACCCTGTCAAGTCGCCATGATGTAATTCAATATAGAAGAATATAGAAGACTTAAGGTAAGTACCTTAGCTAAGATATAAATGTAGCGTTAGATACATTACAAAACTTATATATTACATGTGCACTTTTTTGTTTATACACTAGAAAATAATAATACACATCTACCGGAAATGGCGAGGACAGGTTTGTCGTGCTAGAATGAATGGCCAATTCATTACCGAAACAAACCTGCATGGAGTTTGGGACTAGCACCTGATGAGAGTTCCCTCACAAAATTACTGGCATACTAGCCTATATCTTTTGGTATTTTTGGCATATTTTAGAATAATAAATACGCTATAGCACAAACTCAAAATTTCTAAATTTTATTTGGCATAACTCCTTCCTGGTCGTTTTCTTTATTACAATTTTCTTTTTTGTTCACAAATACGCACATATACAAATTCCTATAATCTATCATAATCAAACAATGTATAATACTGCATGTTGGTTTTATAGAATTATTTGTTGACTACTTACCAGTATAATAGCATGCTTTTTGAAATATGTATAGTATTATTTGCTAATTAAAAAATAACTTATAAAATCTAAATTATTGTTTAACGTTGAGTGACCAGAATCGCAGTATACATTGAAATATTTTGAAAGGTTTAAACCCCCCCCCCCCTTTTTTCAGTTTTGTCTATAACTTGTGTTAAATATTTATTGAAAAACACCCCCCTAATTTTTCGTTACTATTTAAATTGTATCAACTCTCATCTTTATTTTCCCTGTTTATTGAGTTGACATTATACTACATGTATGGCCGGCCACCAAAAAATTGATTGCTTCAGTCTCCTCGGCTGGGTGACGTGGTGGTGTGTTTATTTATTTATAATTTATTTATTTTTTAAAAGATAAAAATAGATATACTAAGTATATCTATACGGTCATGCAGAGGCCTGCCCATCTCTACTTCACTAAGGAAGTGTTGAGGAGATGGAACAGTGATTTGAGGCTGGAAGCATAAGGTGAACAAATAAGAATAATAACAATTCTTATCACCAATGAACGATTTATCATAATAAGATTAATCAAATATATATAAATATACAAAATACAAAAAGGTCTATCAGTTCAAATGCCAGTATATTTGAAGAAAGGTTCCAAGCTACTGAAGATGCAAACACCAGTCGACTCATTACAAAGATTAGGTGGATAGTTGAAAGCATTAATGGAAAATTGAAACAGTGGCGTTTTTTTGATAAAGTAGTACCAAACCATTATATCCCGCATCTTGGAGAGTTTCTCCGAATAGTAGCCGCAATTTGCAACAGGTACCATTCTCCACCTGCTAGTAAGCAACGTGATATCCAGCTTGCTGAAGAAATGTTGGAGAAGAGTAGGCAAGGAAACCTTGTGCAAACCATAGTAGAAAAACCATTTACACAGAGACAGATAGCTCATCTCACCTCTTATATGATTTTCCAGTGTTGACAGAAGACAAACTGAGAAAGATAACACTTGGGGTTTACCAGCTTAAACAGACACCACTTTATGCAAAAGAACACATTAATAATGAAAATAAATACCAGCTCCAAGTGTGCAAAATAAAAGAAAACCTTCTGAAGGTAAGAATTCAATCTCGCCACTGTAGCAATGTTTTGCACACTTCTTTCATACAATACACTACAGATGGACAGATAAGTGGATGGTATTGTACAGTCCCTGAAAGGTTCTACTTTCCCATTTTTCCGTTCGCTCACCGTGTGTTAACCGTTCGTTCAGCGTGCGTTCACCGTTCGTTCACCGTGCGTTCACCGTTGCTCTCCGTTCACAGTTTTGCGTTCACCGTTCACCGTGCGCTCGCGTTTACGGTTCACAAAGCGTTCAGCGTTCGCTCTTCGTTCCGTTCAACTTGCGTTCAGCGTTCACCTATCGTTCAGTTTTCATTGTCATTCGGAACTCCGAAGTGAAAGGACTTATCTTTTTGTAGGGAAGGATTTACAGGTTTTTTAATTTAATAACTAACATATCGTGTTTGACGAATCATTATTTCATGTTGAAAAATATATACGATATATATTTTTATTATTCTAACTTAGCTGTTAGGTTATTTATTAAATTACTCTGGAAAATAAATGTTGTTATAGCACATTCTGTATCTATATAGAACGATTCTGAAATATTAAATTTAACTAAGGGCAATGTGCAAATACTTCAGGCACTGCAACATTTTGTTGTTTTGTTAAAGACGAGAAATCGTTAATGGTGATATAATTATACAAGTCAAATATTTACGCAGCAAAATTACGAAAATATTTATTTCTAACACGTTTTTTTTTTTTCAATTACTACAGAAAATATGATAGAACTAGTTCTGAGAGTTATACATAGTACTGCGGATATCCTGTTAATTTATAATCTTTGGAGCGAATTAAATTGATAGTGTGGTTAAAGGAAATATTTATTTGAAATATACTGCACTACAGAATTTTCTCTACTATAATATGTAGTCTATAGTTATAGAGAAAAAAAAATTCTTTCTTCACCGTAACTTTATATGTTTGCCATTCGATATGATTAATACCCCCCCCCCCCTTCTTTCCCTAGATTGGTTACTTAGTCAGTACTGTATTTCCAGAATATTTTAATTAACATTTTTTTAAAAAGGTTAATGTCTTTTTAGAACAAAAATTTCAGTCTCAAAACAAACATGCATCTAAAAAAGTCACTAAACAATGGTAGTTCAAGATGTACACGTGTCGGCGGTGGTATATGAAATTGGCAGAGAGTATGTTTCAAATTCAAGTGTTAATGCCCAATGTATTTTATTCATTTATTATTCAAATGTTGGGATCAAATCTAGAAATGATAAAAATAAATGTTATAACTTGTTCGAAATACTCGCACTTCGTCTTCGATGTGACGAAACTTTCACACCTGCACAGTGTCGAATGATTTTGATTGACAGGACAAACAGGTGGACTTCGTGTGAACTTGAAGCAGGAAAATATAAACGAGTATGACTGTCAAACAAATGGATATGACTTGTTGATAAAAAAAAAAAGTTACTTTCACTGTCTGATATATTTAGAAAAAAATTCAGAGTTTTTGTTTGATATAGGTACAAACATTTAGTGAAGCCTGAAAGGAGAGGGGAGGCTTGAATGGAATATTCTCTCTCTCTCTCTCTCTCTCTCTCTCTCTCTCTCTCTCTCATTTGTCTGTTTAATAAAAACTATAACAGCATATTAATTAAACATCAAGCTTTGAAAATTGAATTTATAACAAATAATATGAATATGTATCTTTGTATTATCTTGTCCGAGTATAATCATGGCCATCTAGAGATACATGTAGAAGTCTGCTCAATAAATCATCATGAAAAATAGAAATGACACATAATATATTATTGTATTAAAAATATGAAATACGAGCGTATAAATGCAAAACGTCCAATGACCTTTGTAATTATTTTTTTTTTCATTACTTTACAGGAAATCGCCCTGACACGGAGATATATGAATAGATATTACAACCGCTTTAATTCATTCTATACGTCAGAAGTTTTCTCTGATTTGTTTATACTTCAGCGTTCGGCAACAATTGCAATGTTTTAATGCGATCAAAATCGTGTGATTGAAAACTTAATGTGCATGCATCGTCTTTCTTAGGACAATTTTGGAGAATTTATTTTATTGACTTATTTATTCATTCATTTATTGGTTTACTTATTTATTATTTATTTATTTATTTATTTATTTTTGGCACCTGATATCATAATACAATAAAATAGTTTCAATGCAAGGAAAAGATCAGAGGCATTCCGAATATATCGTTCATCTTGCGTTCACCGTTCGTTCACCGTTCACTTTGCGTTCGCGTTTGCGCTCCGTTCGCACTCTGCGTTCGCTCACCGTTCACACATCGTTCACCTAGTTGCGTTCAGCGTTCACACATCGTTCACTTACCGTTCGCTCTGCGTTCGTTCACCGTTCAAGTGGGAAAGTAGAACGTTTCAGGGACTGTACCTGTAAGGTAGGTGCCAGGGTGGTAGGCTGCTGTGCACACGTTGCCAGCATTATCTAGTACCTAGGGTTCCAGCGATTCCAGCAGCATAGTTCAGAAAAATTTAATTTCTGTGACTCTGTATTAGATGCTTATGATATTTCTGACTCTGACTGCAGTTCATCTGTAGAGGAGTAGCTAAGTTCATATATTATTGACATGGACCATATATCTGTATCAATTGTACATTCTGATTTAAACATTTATCAAATATTTTATTCATAGCATTCAAGATCTGTTAGAGATATTGCAGTTGATAATTAAGGTACTTGTCATATGCATATGGCCCACAAATTCAGCTTAATTCTCATCCTTAAATGCCATAATATAGACAGTTTTATATATTTATACTAAGACTATTTTATCAAGTTAAATCAAACTTGCTTTGAACCATTTATTGACATGTACTTCTGTTTATATATAATATACTGAATTTGTTGAAAAGGTGGTGATCGACCTATACAATTTTTGTGATAATTAATTATATCTAACTATATAAAGTGGAAATTATTGCTATTTTTTCTACTTTTACACATAAAATATCTGAGGATGGAGGCACAAAATGTTTAAGATAGAAAAGAGTGCTTAAAATGAACTAATTCTAAATAATAGAGTTGTGAATTGTCATTTGATTTCTTTCCTGCAAAAAGTATACAATTATGTGTAAATGGACAATGGAAAGTTTTTCATCTTCTTCTTTTTTTTTTTTTTTTTTTTTTTTTTTTTTGCTGTTGTCGAACTGTTACTGAATTTTGTTTGTACCACATGCTATGTTGTCTTTAGAAAAACATTGAATTTTCCAGAACAAACAATTGCAGTTACATTAAATTGCCATTGTAATCACCAAGATTTTAATTCTATCTCTTATCATCTCTTTTTCAGTCTTTAACTGCTCATATGTACAGTTTAGTCATTGTAGAAACAGGTGTAGAAACAGAAATATTTGCACATATTCTGATGCTCATGGTTTCAATGTAGTTGAAACATCTGATAAATATATATTATGAGTACACTGACAACAGTTCTTAATTGTTTTTAAGTGTATATATATATATATATATATATATATATATATATATATATATATATATATATATATATATATATATATATATATATATATATATATATATATCATAAATCATTCTGTTGCTCAAAATGAATTCAAATTGATTTCTTAGATATTAAGAAATCTGGAGTATATTTTGTGTAGATATATATGTATATGTACATGGTTTTTTTTTAGTTGCTAAGGATTTATTTGGTACCCATTGAGATGGAATGCTGTATTTCAGCTAAATATCAAATGTAAATGCACCCATATTGAAATAACTTATAATATAAAACTTATATTCTGATATTCATTACAATGAGTTCAATTATGTATACAAATCTAGTTTCAATATCCATGTGTAGTGAGGCCGTTGCTAGGGACCTATTTGGTTACCTCAGCTATAAAATTGGGTATTTTGCTATTTATTTAGGAAAATGTCCATGAACTCATCATTTACATTGTGATATGTATAAAATTGCTCGTTCTTTATCTCATTTTAATTAATAAATGATGGTAATAGTGACTTAAAATTCAAATCATGGTTGTTATGTTTTATGTGTTGCTAGGCAGCCAATTTATTGAGATAACAAGAAAAAACTATTATTTTATGTAAGGGTTTGGTATACTTTATAACTACATGTAATATCAGTATTTTTGAAGAGGGAGCCAGAAATGGCTCTAGACCTACATTGTATCTTGTTCTTTAAAAATATTGCTGTTTCAAAATATTCATATATTTGTTCTTCAAAAATTGTTGGAAATAAAACAAGAGTAATTTATATGTATTTAATTACCTACCTCAAAGTAATTCAGAGTAATTAATTACATTTGTTAAAATCAATGTAATTATAAAAGTTATTAACAAAATTATCAATGTACTTTGAAGTTTTTTATTACATTTTCAAGTAATTGACCCCAACCCTGATTGCCATTCAAAGTAGCATATTTCATGTAATGTGATTTTGAATGGAAACCCATATACATGTATCTGATGTACTAAGTATACATGTCTGGATTGATCATTTCATCAAATGTGTAGTGAATGAACTTTAATCTGAATTGCTATAAATGACGATAGGTAAAGATAACGAACAGTGATTGACCTCATATAACTTATACGCATTACATATTTTACTTATAAAGCATTTGTGAAGGGCAAGAAAAACCACGGAGGTTCCAAGAGGAGTAAGCATCCCTTGTTAACTGGTCACACCCACCGTGAAATTTATGCATTGATAAAGTAATCCCGAATTGTAAAAATGTATTCTTCTTAAAATGAATTTGTAGATTTTATTTGATTTTAAACGTGCATGGTATCTGCAGATTATACATGCAAGGGTTTTTCATTGAAACCTCTTGTGAATAACATGATCGGGAGGTCGTAAGTTCGAATCTCGGCCGCGACTGACCTAAGTCGATAAAAAATGGGTAGCAACTGTTCCTTCGCCATGCGTTTAACACTTTGAAGTGAAAGTTGCGGGTCCTTCGGATGAGACCTTAAAAACC